AAGGCTTTGATGAATTCAAGCCAGAGCATTACACTGAGGACAGCAGGCACTACTATTTCAGATCAATGACAAAAGATAACTGACTTTAAAGCATTTCTCATTGTGAGAAAGAACTGTAACAAACCGAAAAGTATACACAACTGGACTGAGACCAGGTGGCATTTCCTCCTCTGTCTTTAATTTCAGTTCTGTTCCTTCCCACTCCCCAACTTCCCTCTTGCACCACTTGCAACAAGCAAAGGGCACAGGACTCTGATGCTCAGTGGGCTGCTTCTGACAGCAGTTCACACTTGGAAAAGCACAGCATCAAATTCCATTTTCACAAGGAACACACCAAAGCAATCACTGCTGGAGAGGAGCTCACACGTGGAAATACAGCTTTTTTTTTTATAATGTACATCACAGGACACATCTACCTGCCCATGTCATAAAACAACAGCAGACAACATTTTCAAATGGGAACCCCAAAACTTTCCAATACGTGACTTTTAAACATTCCTTTTGTGGCAGCCGATACAATCACTTACTTAATAGCGGTGGTCATACTCTGTGCTTGCTGTTGAGTGCCATTATTGATTGTGTTGGCGTTTTTCAGCTGGTTCATCTGCTGCTGAGTTTGTGTGCCTCCACCTCCTGGGCCCCCGCTGGGTTTTACGGGGCCTCTCAACTGCCCATTCTGACTGGATAGACCCATTATAACAGGGTTCTCTGTTCTGGCCGTGCTCATGGTTTTATCTTTAAAGATGTCTTTTTAGACTCAAAACTTTGAAAGTCAGTACAGAAACTGTAATAACAGTTTATTAGACTCTCCAAAACGAAGAGATAAATAAGTCTTGCTCAATATATGAGTCCTTTATTGCAATGCAGGCAAGCACCTGTAAGTCACTCAAAAGTAAAGCAGTAACTTGCTCTGATGCACTGTGGATCAACTTTTTTTTAAAAAAAGCCCTCTAACGAAGTTATGTCAGAATTCGCTTGCTTCAATCTGAAAGAGAAGCAGACAATAACAATTAGTATGTGGGGTTTTGGCCACACAAATCACATCAGTCTACTTTTGTATTTTAAGAGTCACTTTTTCCCAGGCAGCGTGCAACAAGAATACTTGCTTTTCTGTTTCCTCAGTGATAACTATCACAACGTGCATCAAACTTTTCTCCCCTTTCTATAAAGCTGTGCCTACCTTCTTTAGTCACCAAAGAAAACCTCCCAAAGAGCTGTGCTTTCAGCAGCATTCCTAGGAGGAACACTACCTGCCCCCTCCCGGAAAGTAACCATGAATTTTATCAACTACTTTGACAGTTTTTCAAGTTCCCCCACTTCTGAGATGCAGCAAAGCAGCCCTAAAATGCTGAGCAATAATGTCACACACAAGTTTATGACAGGAAGCAAGATGACAATATCAAATGGACATTCCAGCAAGAAGTGACAAAACCCTTAAGTTACTCTGATTCCCCTTTTCAATTTGAAAGGGAAATAGAAATTACATAAACCCAAAACAACAGCTTACCCTCCTCCAACCCAGAACATTAGCTCAACCCAGCTTACTCACAGTTTTGAGCTGGGCACTGATTTAGAGCCGTTCAGAGCAGCAACATGAATACCATCACACTGAACTGAGCAGGTGCCTCTGAGAGTCCAAGGGACTGAGCCTGAACTGAGGCAGCGAGTAACACACATGTACACTGGGTATCCAGCTTCCTGCTTATGCGTTCCACGTGACCTTACCTTCCAGCAGTCACCAACAACTTATGTTGTGCTCAAAAAATAACATTTGGTACAGGACTTAATATTGACTCCATATGTAACAGAACGGTTGGCAAAACCACGGAGAGACAACACAAAGTCTGCCCCTTACAGAAAGTAAGCACAGACCAGCTGAAAGACTCCTTACTGTGGTACCACGGAGACAAAACATTCCCAGTACAAAATCTTTTGGAACAGAAAGTAGGCTTGCCTGTCCTTTCTCATCACAAGGCACCTTTTATCTTGGGAAAATGCAAAGGAAAAACCAGCAGATTACTGCTTCCTAACCTCGGCGTTCACAACAAAATGTGCTTCCTCAGTGAATAAAAGCATTTCAAGAGAGCGAAAAAGGAATTCAGACTCTTCCCAGACTTCCCTGCTGTTTCCAAATGCGTCCACAGCACAACTTTAAAGTTCGCAGAACCAGGATTTTCCTGCTAGTTATCTCTCATCTTTGAAGACAGATTTCTCCTAGCCATTAACTTCGTAAAAACCAGACGAGATGAGCCACGAAGGTAACCGGAGCCGCCAGAGAGTCCCGGGATACCAACGCCGAGGAGTTCTCCAACATAGCAGGAAAAGAAACCTCTCAGCCCCTCACTCCCCATCCCCCCCACCCCGTAACTACCCTTTAGGAGGACAGAGGTTAAAAACAACACTCAGCCTCACCGAACCCAACAAATCCCCCCGTTCCGAGACAAGAGGCGCCACCATCTCGCAGACCGGCGGCCCGAAGGGAAAAGGGCCCTCGCAGCCCATCTGTGCCCCCCGGACGCGGGCAGGCGGCCAGAGAAGCCGTTCCGGACCTTCCCCTTCCCCTCGGCCCGGCACAAAGGGAGCCCCCGCGACGCCCGATGTGCGCGGTGAGGCCGGGCCGCACTGCAGAGCCGCGGGGCCGAGCGGCGGGCCCGGCGCCGCCCGCGGATCGCAGCCTGCGCCACACCGGACACTCCCGCCCGCCCAGAACAATGGAGAGCCCGTCACCCGCCGCCCGGCCCGACCGCGCCCCGCGCGGGACCCCGGCCCGCCGCTCCCGCTGCGCCCGGCCCGACCATCCCCGCCCCGCCCGCCGCCCCGCCAGGCCCGCTCAGCCCAGCGCTCCCGCGCAGGCCGCGAGGCCCGGCCCGCCGGCGCCGGCCCCTGCCGCCACGCTCCCGAGAAGCCGCGCCCGCCCCGGCGCCCCGGCCCGTCCTCACGCCACCAGCCGCGCTCCCCCTCGCCCAGGTATAAAATCCTCTCGCTGCCCCGGTGCCTTGTTATGGCGACTCGACGCTCCAAGATGGCGGCTTCCTCCTTCCTCCCGTGCGCCCTCCCCCTCCCGCCGGGAGGAGCCGCCCCGCCCCGCACGCATACGCACAGACGTACGTGCGTACCTACGTACGTTTGGCGTGCACTGCGCGTCACGTGACAGCGCTGGCCCCGCCCGTCCCTCATCCCGGTCCCTCATCCAGGCTGGTCAGTCGGCCCTGCTGTTTCTGAAGAAAAGGCTTGGAAAGTTAGCGTGGCTTCGCTCTGTAGTCATTAAAACACAGCGAAAACAAATGTAGGAACAAAAGGCTGACCCTCAGCGGGCAGGAGCTGTAACCTCCGACCGCGGCAGGCCTGGGAATTGCCATTCCCTTTCAGACGGCTGGCTGTTCCTTAAACACAGATTTTGACAAACCGGACCACAATGGGAACATGATCTTAAAAACAGTAGCCTAAAAATGCTCGTAATTCCAAAACTGCTTTGCCGACAAATTTTTGTTCAGATGTTTTCCAAAATAGGCACAAAAAGATAGGGAGGGAAGTTCATTTCCCCTGACATGGCTGCTTTTATCTCGTTCCTCACATCTACAGCTGTCGCGGTGTGGTTGTTTATCTACCCCCAGCAGCCAAAGGCACACCAGGGGCTGGCGGGGCCGTGTCTGCCCTCAGCCCCACTGGAAGTCACAGCAGGGGAATGAAGCAATGCTGTTCCCTCCTCTGACAGCCACAGCACAGTCATCTCCATCAGGCCTGCTGACCCTTCTTCTGTAATAACTTCATACGTTCCTGCCCAGTTCTCATGGGAGATAAGATCAGCGCAGTCTCGTCCTTGATTTCTTTTGTTTGCTGCCTTGCAGACTCTGCTCTGCTCTGAGACTGCTGCCCTGGACCAAGCTGCCCTTCCTTGGGGCACAGGGAAGCCTGGTGTGAAGCTCCCTTGCCAACCTCTCTCCTACCTGATGCATCCCTCTTTCTTTTCAAAGCTTCTGTTCCAAGCGTGGCAAGCGAAAAAGGAACCTGAAAAGACAGGTGTTCACGTGCCAAGGGAGCAGAAAACTGCACCTCACCTGTTTCTTGCTGTGCTACTCATTGGCCAAAGGGTGCAGCAGCCATAGATGGGAAACCTTCGACTGCCCCACACATGGAGGGAGATGCTGGACACGACCTTCATTCTCCTGCTCCTGCTGTTGCTTTGGCCCTGCTGTGTGGGGGCTGGCATCTCATCTCAGCTCCTTGCGGGGCTAAGTATCACACTTCCCAATGAGTTGTGCAGGAAGTGGCATGTTCTAATCTTGAAAGAACAAATAACAACAGAAATTAACAGATTAGGAAACATGCCTGACATCTGCAGGTAGCACAAAGTTTTAGTTATGGTAACAGCAAATAAGACTAACAGAGAACATTAGAGTTGAGAAGACTCGGGAGCCAGAAACGATCTGGCTTTTCTTCAGCAGAGCTCAGAAAGTCAGTGTAGTGTCCAACTGGCCAGTAGAGGTGCTTATTAGTCACACAAAGAACATAGCAACTTCACACAGAAATACTGTGCTTGTGGAACCACTTCAGCTCTTCACAGAGGAAAAGCTTCCTGCCAAAATGCCAGCTGCAATGACATCCTGCTCTGCTGACCCAGACTGGGGCTTTCTCACCATGAATCTGCTGCTGTAACATCAGTGAACAAAACACACATTTCCTTGAGCAGAGAAAATCTTGATTTCCCATTTTTATTATCCTTTACTACCTTGTGAAATCAAGGGGCCTTGCTGCTGTCATGCAGCTGCCCAGCCCCTCCTGCGCTTTCCTGTGCAAGCCACCTCACGCTCCCGCAAGCCCAGACGAGGGGCAAAGCAGCAGGAGAAGCAGAAGACAACCACAAGCCACTGGGGTTAAAGCAGCCAGAGGACCTCGAGGCAGAGGGTGATGGTCATATAAACTATACCTATGCATTTCACCTCCAGGTATCTTTGAAGTCCTGCATGGCTCCAGAGATCCAGGAGTATCCAGAGATCTTGCCTGGATCCAGGAGGTTTCTGCTGTGTTCCTTGGCATAGAACTTTCCAAAGCCATTCAGACCACCTGGGACAAGGACAGCCATGGGCAACAGCCCTGGAGGTTTCCAGGGAAGCTGTAAGGATGTTCTGAATCTTCTCTGGTACAGAACAAAGGAATGTGGATTCTTCAAACTGTACTTTAAAAGTCAACTTGCAGTACTAGTAAAAAGATGATAAAGCTAGATGCTAATCCTTACATCAATCAGGTCACTATGCCTGGAGCTCATTTGCCTTGCAAATAATCTATTGTTACATGCTGTGTCCCTTCCTACTCAAATTACTAACTCCACCCCAAAAAAGAACTTCTGTTGAAACTTCTGTAGAAGAGACAGATCCTGCTCCTGAAACCATGGGGCCTGTCAGCTACTCATCAGAGACCTATGACTTGGTGAGTTGGGACTGGCTTTGCTTGATAACGGGGAGAGCAGGTAGAGCTGGGGTGGGCTGAAAGACTTGTTTTCTGTCTGTCCATCTTCTCACCCTCCTGTTGGCAGAGGAAGAGCTTGAGCCATTTCTTAAGACATAACAATCAGCCCTTGCATCCCTTAAGTCCCAACTTGGCCACAAACACAAGGCTGTTGCTTGCGGAGAGCCAGCGCAGTGGGCTGCAGCTGATCCAAGGGTGCTGGATATTCCCACGGGGAAAGCTGCCGAACTGCCGGGGCCTTGTGCACAGCCATTCTGGCAAGCGCTTAGCCTGAGCACTGTCCTTGCATGAGGACAGACCACAGCCTCTGCAAAGGGACAGGTGACTCCCCGGGAGAGCGGGGCTCCGGCAGCCCCATACCCACTGCCAGCCTGTCCCAGGCTCTGTTCCCTGCTGCCCGTGCAGCCCTCGACACCTCAGCATCAAACATTCGTTCTGAGCCAGGCACCTTCTGCACCAGCCTTCAGTGGTATAAATGACTGCACACAGTATGCAAAGCCCTGTACATCTCGTCTGGTCTCCTTACACAATTGGAATACCCAAGCAAATCCAGTGCGCGCTCTCTCTCTTTCTCTCTCTCTCTGTGTGAAAACCCTTGGTACAACCATACGTGCTCCTACCCCTGCTTGCCTTCTCCACATACAGGCTGCCACAGACTCTGTTGAAAGTATATTTACAAGAGGGGCATTTTGAAGAGGGGAAAATAAATTGCGAGTTCTTCTAACAGGGAATAATGACACAAGGCATTCTGCCTCATAGTTCTCTCCCCAGCGTTTGCAAATGAAAGACAGCAGCTGCACCTTTTAGAGTATGTTGAGCTATCCAAGGGGAAGTACACAGCAGCACTATCATCTCGGAATTTATTTTTTAACCAATTGAGCAATTGTGGAAGGAAAAATTATGAGAACGTTTGCACCAAAAGGGTGTTTATCTCACAGTGAGTATCGCACAGTGAGTACGGTGAGGGCCTCATCTAAATTTTGATACCATCCAAGATTAATCGACTCTGTTACCTTGTGGAAAGGTAACGTGCCCAAAATGATAACCCCCCTTTCTCCATAGCAAAAATGCTTTGCTTGCCTAACCTTCCTCAACTGCAGCCTAGACAACCAAAATCACAGGTGCAGAAGAACCATTGAGATCTCCACCAGGTCCCTTGAGGTGCTGCAGGCCAGTTTTCAGTGTAATGGGACCAATATGACTCAAGAGCACAAAGGCACCTGCACTACAGTAATGTGGCATTTCCATAGGCTTTGGTCTTATTCCTAGCTTTCCTGGTTCAGCACCCAGAGAGGTTATGAGCAGAAGCTCTGTCAGTAAATTGCATTGATGTGGGCTATTTCAGTTTTAAGGTTTTGGGAATAAAATGTGCTGCTCCCAGCCCTGGCATGGACTAGAAGGGAATGACTCACATGGAAAACCCATAATAGTGCACAAGCTGCTTCACTTCTGCAGCCAAATGTTTTGATCGCTGACAGTTGTGGGGAACTGAGAAAAACAGTTGCCACACAGAAACCAGAATAAATCTGAATGTGGGTCAGGGGTAGAGGGATCCCTGAACAAAAAGCACACAGGAACAGCCTTCCCAGGTATGCAGTTGTTACAGAAAGAGACACCACTTTTTCTCCCACCCCCAAATCTGGCTGCAATTGTCTTGCAGGAGACCTGTTCAAAGGTCCCTCTGCATACACACTGTTGACTTATCCCATGACAGATCAGGCAGCCACCTGCTTCCAGTCCTAGAAATGGGAATCACAGCAGAGTCCCCAGAATCCTCTTCTTGGCACAATCAGTGCATCTCCTGCAGCTCTGGTCCCTGTCCTTTCTGTCTCAGCCTGGACTGTGACTTTTCATCCTCATGTCTCCAACTCATCTCTGTCCTCTTCCACCCACACATGCTGCTCTGCTTGGAGATGCATGAGAGGATGCCTCAGACTCAGCTCCACACATGCTTCCCCTGCCCACAGCAAGTGGCTTTACAGTAAGAGCCCTCCCTACCTGCTCCCCATCAGCAATCAGATGGTGTCTGATAGGGGCACTCAGCCTCTGCACCTCTGGCTCCAAATACAAGGTGATGCTGGAAGCTGGTCAGTGGCCAAAGCCACTGAACACCACCCAGGCTGTCCACCCATCAGCATCAATGGTGCTGGCATGGCTCCAAGGCAGGACTGACACTCCAGCCAGCAAACCCGGACATTTCCCATCTTTTCCTTTTTTTTCCTTCCAAGGTGGAATCCTCCAACCTCTCCCCAGTGAAATTTCCCATTGCAACATATAATTTGTTTGGGGTTTTCCACACGGTCACCTGCACAGCCTGAGCAGTCTAGTTTGGTCAGTCCACTAAATTGCAAAGGTTTTTGGGTTGGTCTTGTTTTTCTCAAAGAGATTCAAGGATCTGGCACTGGACAACACATTGCAGGTTTCTATGTGTGTTGGTAATTCCTGAAAAAGGTCTGGGTACAGACTAGGAAATGTTTTCAAGCCAGGGAGAAAAATAACTGGGAAGGATTTCTAAAAGCTTTTGTCTTTAGCAGCAATCTCCAGTTTCCAAAATCATATCCTTAACCAGAAAAATAAATGTTCTTTGGGAATACAAAATGCTTTTCACCAAAGGTTTGCAGCCCCATCATCACATTAGGGGAAGACAGGTGTGTGTTTGAGGTTTTGGGTAGGGGGGATTCCTGGCCCCCGAGGGGACTGGTTCTCACCCATTCAGGAGGAAGCACCATGGCATCAGAGCACAGCCACAGCACCCCTGGATGCAGAGTTGGTGGAGAACGGGATGGTGGCAAGACCAAGAGTAACTTTGGTCAGAGCAAAGTCTGGCTCAGCACTCTTTCTGGCAGTAGCCAAAGGCAGAGGCCCAGGGAAGAGGGCAAGAGCTGGATAAGGCTATTCTGCACTTTTCCCAAGGGCTTGTTTGCCCTCCTACCATCCACTGCTGGGGGACCCCCTGAGCCAGCTGTCTGCTCTACGTGTTCAGTAATGCTCCATAGACTTCTGCCCCATCAGTGTGCCTGGCCCCTCCTGGAGCCATGCAGGCGGTTTCAGCAGCAGAGCAGAGCAGTTCAGATGAGCCCTGCCACTGCCTCTTTACCCCAGTCACGTGCGGAGGCACCCAGTGCATTGCCCAGGGAAGGCTGCCTGGGAGAGAAGAAACATAAATCACCCTTCCCTAGCCAGGAACAATGCAGGACTCCAGGCTGGTCACACTCATTTGGCTTAGTAGCACATTGGGTGAGCAAAATCCCCCAAAATCAACTCTAAAACTGTATGAAGCAGGGCTGGTATTTTTAGACGGGAACTTTGGCAGAGGAGGGAAGGAGCAGCAGGTGCAAACGGCTGCAGCTGGCAGTGAAAGGTATGAAAGCAGCAAGCAGAGACTTCCGCTGTGGTTGACACTGAAGTCTCAGCACAAGTCTCTGGAGAGGGTGTGGGTGGGGGACCTCAGGGTGACTGCTGCTGAGCTCTTCCCACTTGTCACTAATTTTTCAGCTTGCCACAAGCCTCCTGCACTGCTCTCTTTTTGTGCTCATCCCAGCCCTTTGCTTTTGTGAACACCCAACTTCTGCAAGGTGCCCAAGGCCAGCTGGAGTGTGCCCACTGTCCAGGAAGTTCATCCTGAGTGCAATTCCAGCTTCCCAGCACTTGATACTTGCCCGCAGCCTCAGCCCCAGTACAGGCTGCTCACCTGGCAAGAAGATCCAGCAGGCCAAGAGCGAATCACGTTTGTGGCAGCTCTATTGCACTTTCCTTACCGGTTACCAGCCTAGGGTCTGGGTGGTGTTTTCAATCGTGTTTCCTGCTCTGACTGCAATTAATTCAGAACTGCAAGGTTTACCAACAGAACAGATTTCTCTCTGCAGCATCCATTCCTCTAGCTATGGCACCGCAGTGCCTCAGAGGCTTTCCTCCAGCCATGCTGAACGCCTGCCCCACACCTTTCTCTGAGTGTGTGGAAAGCAATCTCAAGGATAGCTGCTGCTTGCTCTTGCCCCTTACCTTGCTCTGCCCCAGGCAGCTCCCAGGCCTCTGAGGAGAAGGTAGTCAGTGCAATCCCACCACCTTTGTACCTGGCAGCAGGCAGGACAGGGGCAGTCCGTATCAGAAATGGGTAGAAAACATCAGGAAAGCTGGTAGAGGAACGTTCCATGCTGTATGAGGAAGCAAGAGCCACCAGCAGGTAAACTGGCAAGAACCAGATGATGAAACTGGTCATTTGACTGGACACCAGAACATCACCAAATATGCTAGTTAGAGATTAGAACCTGAGCAGCTCTTGCTGTCAGAGATGGAGACAACCCTCTCCACAGGCTGCTGCACCTCCTGGCACTGGGAGGACCTCCAAGGTCATCACACTGCAGACAGGCAGCACCCGCTCCTGATGCAGGTGGGCTGCAGGACGTGGGGATGCTCCACTCTAGGTCTGCCAGGTGCAGCTGAGGGACTGGGTTCTTGTGTCCAGAAACTCCCCTCTATTAACAATACTCTCTTATTCTCCAGAGCCAGGTGGAACTGAGTGGGTACTACGAAGCTGAGAACACCACCCCTTCTTTGGAGGGCTACTTTTGCTTCAACCCAGCCTCATCAGTGGTCGGCAACCAGAGAGACCCCTTCAGAAAGGTCTTCATGCCCCTCATCTATCTGCTGATGTTCATGTTGGGGACTGTAGGCAATGCTCTGGTCCTGGTCATTTTAGAGAGGTTCAAGCGGTCTCGCACCACCACGGAAAACTTCCTTTTCCATCTCACCCTGGCCAACCTGGCACTGTTGCTTACCTTCCCGTTCAGCGTGGTAGAGAGCTTGGCTGGGTGGGTATTTGGGAAGTTCCTCTGCAAGATACTCAGTGCTGTCCACAAGATCAATTTCTACTGCAGTAGCATGCTGCTGGGGTGCATCGCGGTGGACCGTTACCTGGCCATCGTCTATGCAATCCACACCTACCGCAAACGCAGAGCTCACTCCATCCATCTCACCTGCACGGCTGTCTGGCTCTGCTCACTGCTTCTGACTTTACCCGATCTCATCTTCATGGAAGTCTGGACAGACGACAGCAACCGCAGCATTTGCTATTTTCCAGAGGTTGGGATCGATGGCAACAATGCCTGGCTGGCAACTCGCTTCCTCTACCACACTGTGGGCTTCTTTGTGCCCCTGCTGGTCATGTGTTATTGCTACATGGCCATTGTCCGGGTGCTCTGTCAGTCCCAGCGCCTGCAGAGGCAGAAAGCTGTCCGTGTGGCCATCCTGGTGACAGGAATCTTCCTGCTCTGCTGGAGCCCGTACCACATCGTCATCTTCCTGAACACACTTACCAAGCTAGAAGCCTTCACCAAGAACTGCCTCCTGGAAGACCAGCTGGACACAGCCATCATGGTGACAGAGGCCATTGGCTTCACACACTGCTGCCTCAACCCCATCCTCTATGCCTTCATTGGAGTAAAGTTCCGTAATGACTTCTTCCGGATCCTGCAGGAGCTTGGCTGCATAAGCCAGGAGACCCTGCAGGAGATCCTGGAGGTGACAAGGAAGGGTAGTGGGATTGATTCCGATAACACCACCTCCATCTCCACCTTCTAGCTGGAAAAGGCTGCCTGCAGGACAGAACTGGCCTAGGGCTTTCCTTCCTAGTGGCGTACTTGCTGTGGTCTCAGTTACAAGTTTCACAAGGATCCCCACCACTTTTCTTTGCTCCTCAGGAAACAGGTCCAATAGCCACTGAACACCCGAATCCCATCAGATACCTTGCCTGGCTCCTCCTGGTTCTCGTACCTGTAGAGATCTGCCTGGCAGCTGTTGGTGAATGCTGGCTGTCCAGTGGTCACTCTCGTGGGGCTGGATGAACCCAAGTGGGTTGAACTGACACTCCCACCTCTCTCTCAAAACGGTGACTCTGCAGGCATCCTGTGCATGAAGCCAGGCACAAGACTGGGGTGCCAGGGGCAAGGAAAAAAGTGCAGCCAACTAAGCTAAGCAGGTCTCCATTTCACAAGCTCAGGTTGGTACAGACACGCCCAAAGGAAGCAGCAACTGGAAAGAGAGATGCAGGTAGGACTGATGGGGGCTGTAGAGCTCAATCGCATAGCATGGGCGTACAGTGCTGAACACTCTCTGACTGCAACATTGTCCTCCTGCTGCATGACATCCCCCCCAGCCAGCCATGACACATTCACCTGCCCGACACAGCTCATGCCAGCAGGTCCTCCCACAGACTTACAGATTTGACTGTCACAGACTCCTTTCCTGACACCAGTTGCATCTTTCCCCACTCATTTGATCTGTTTTACTGCTGTTAAGATCTTCTGTGAGTGGCTGCTGAACTGACTGCCTGACTATGCAAAAGTTTTCCTTTAAGGAAAAACACCATTTGAAGAGATGGCTTCTGTCTTGTGACCCTGCACAGGGGACAGAAACCACACCGCTTTGTAAGTGTGAAGGTGTAACTTTTCTTTCAGCTCACTGTATGGTAATTTGTGGGTTCTGAGAGCAAGGAGACCCACTGCCCCAAAGTAAGGAAAAGAGCTCGTTTGCATAATTTCTCTTTGTTTTTAGAGAGGCGAGAGGAAATGCAGCATTTTGCTTTGCACTGTGCTTTCTGCTATTTTTCCTCAACAGGGCTTTCAGAGATTAAGTGCATCCAGGTGTACAGAGAACAAACCTGGGTGGTGATCTTGCCCTGAACTGCAGCTGAACTTCACTATACCCAAGGGCCCTTCTAAAAAGACCAGGCATTATGGAAGGGGTTACCGTTACCTCAGTCTGGCTCAGCTAGAGAACTCAATAGCTCGTTCTCACATTGTGACTTCAGGAGAAAACTCACCAAGTATAAGGCAGTCCACCATTTCCTGCAGTGCTGCATCTTCAAAGATGAAACCTGCAAATAATGGTGACTGTAATTGTTCAAGCATGCACATGCAGCAGAGGAAGAGCAGCTCTCTTTAGCCTGTCCTCGTGTTCTCCATGGTTGTACCAGTGAGCAGACCCATTGCAGATGCATTGTAAACACCTCCCCAGCAGGTTCTGATGAAACTGTGTTTCCAAATACATAAAACTGTTACTGAAGAAATGAACAGTCAGAGTGTAAAATTCTTACAGTGGTCACAAAGTAAAAAGAAAATCTGCACACAAAGTAAGAGTGAACAGATTGATTACACATCTATTGTTACTATAGTTTTTAGTACTGGTATGTACAAACCTTTAGAAATGTTTGATGTAAGCTGTAATAAACAATTGAAGGAAACACCTTCTCATGGATAGTGCTTGTAAGCAGTTGTCTGCAGTCATGTCACTTTCTCGAGGGAAACGCATCAGAGAGCACTGAGTGGGCAGACATCACCTTTCTGACAAGCACTGCTGTTCCCACATGGGGACCACAGGGCTCACAAGACCACCCTGTTCAGATTCCCCTTCACTGGTGCCACAGAATGCCCTGCTGTGTTCAGAGTCAGTTCCAGATCTACATTAGCTGTCTGCTTTCCAGAGCCTCTTCCACCAACTGGAGCACCTGCTGCCCCAGTTTTACAGCAGTTGCTAACCCAAGTGGAAAGCTGCCCTTGCACCCACATTTGGTTCAGCCAGCCTGGGAATGGCTTGGCTCAGAGCTGGCAGACCCTTCCCCAAAGAGCAGCTGTTGCTCCTCCCACAGCTGCCTGCAGCCAACCTGCTGAATGGTGACAAGAAAGCAAGAGGAACTTTCCTTCACCACAGAGGAAGCTGGGCTTTCCACTCAATGAAACCCTTGCTGCCTCCTCAAAGTTTGCATGGCTGTCACACGGCCCAGAGCGGGCTTCCCTGCTAAGCGCTCATGCCACCAGAGCCACCCCCAGACACCACAGCCCTCAGGCACACAAACCTTCAGGCTCCCCTGTGGAGCTCAGCTCAGCCCCTATTCCACTGCTACCAAGTGAGGCAGACGTACTCTGCCCACCCAGGCCACCAGGAAGAGGCACTGAGCCCAGGGGAGCTCCAAGGTGGCTCTTGCAGGGAGTGGGGAAGTGGCGTGTGGGAAGGCAATCTCACCACCATCCACAGCACACACTCTGCACCCCCAGCCCTGGACCATGCTCTGCAAACAAGGCTCCAGCAGACAACCCAGAGAAAGCCTTGGTCTGCTGAAGGCAACCCCAAAGACAAGGACACAAAAACTCACAACAGCACACTGCTCTGCATTTCCTGCAGGGTAACCAAGTCTCCCAGGAGGCAGAGCTGGGGTGTTTCAGCAGAGCATCCTGCTACACGCGCACGATGATCACAGGGCTGTGGCGGGCAGCGGAGCGTGCATGCGTGAGCACGAGCCAGCAACGCATGAATGAACCCGTGCCTGGGAGCGCTGCAGAGAAAGGGCTCCCCCGATGCCCACGCAACCCTCCCAGCAGCTCTTGCACCCTCTTGTCCCCACTGCAGTCCCATGGAAAATCACGTGGAAAAAGACAGGCACAAGGTCAGGTTTTGAAATTTGTCTTTTTAATAAAAAGGCACCTATAAAACAGGTCAATACATTACAGGCAGCACAGATACCCAAAAACAAGCCTAAAAATTGTTTCAAATAAAAACCAATAAGATGTCTTCACATATTGTATTTATATATTTATATTTATATATATATATTTATATAATGGTACAAAATGACTGGGGAATTTCTCCATGGGATGACAGAGAACAGGTCAGTCACCTTTACCTCAACGTGAAAGCTAATTCCGGGTGCGTGATTATCCGATGTACTGAAAGATGCGGTTTCCCAGCATATGCTTTTTTGGAGCCGGAAAAACATGGCGAAGTCATGGCTAAAAGATGGGCAAACCTACTGTGATTAGGTGGAGTCAGTACACAGAACTCAAGCTGAGAAGTCGAGCAATAAACTACAAGACACAAGACTAGACACAGGTCACGGCAGCAGGCAACCAGCTGATGGCAAACCTTGCCCAGGTCTAACACAGACTGGCTGTCACTGAGCCTCCAGAGGAACTCCTGCCACACTGCTGTTCACAGACATGGTTGGGAGTGGTGCCCAGGGCAGAAGGGTGTTAGGCAGCACTTCTTCTCCCCATTGTTCAGCCCTCTCAGTGGTAGGGATAGGGCTGGCTCTAGGGCAGTGCAATTTTGCAGAAGAGCATCGACTGCTGCTCTAGAATCCTCAGCTCTGACCTAGTATTGGGATTTCCCTTTTGTATCCAGGGCTGCTGAGTCAAAAGGCTTTGCTTCTTATTTGTCACCGAAGGACAGGTGTTCCTTCTGTTGCCAGGCAGAAATAGCACTGCACTGCCCCGTCCCCACGAGCAGCCAGCACCAGCCTCCTGAGTCCTGCACAGCCTGGGGGCTGCAGCCTGGGGGCTCCGGCTGAGCAGGGACAACACGCTGCCCACAAAGACAGGACTGCAAGCCCCAAGCAACTTCTGTGTCAGGCTGGGCAAAAAGGACAACAGGGAAGGTACGAACACATGGAGATCTCAACCGGGCTAAAACAACAGCTGTCTACAGACAAACAAAAAACTTCCATATAGAAAATGTTATGGCTTCAAATTAGCCAAGACTAGCTGGTGGGTAATGAGCAAGGTTTGAGGCTGTAATTGGTATTTGGATGTTTACGAGAAACTACCAGCAGCCAACACCCCAAAGTGCAGCCAAGAGAAGCCACAGCCTTTCAGGCAAGTCAAGCTTAGAAAGAGCTACATCTGTTTGAGCCACATCCTCCCATGTGAACACACTGGAAGGATGGAGAATCCAACCAGCTAACATGGTCAGGTCCAAAGCCTGAGCTGAAGATTATTCCTCTGCTCCAACTGCAAAGGCAGGCATGACCACTGCCTGTTTTATCACCTCAAAAACCGCTACTTGCTCACATCATACACAACAAACCCCTACAAAGCAGGAGACCAAAGCAAGATTCTTCCTCAAATCCAGACCCATGCTTCTTACCCAGTACTGCTCGCTACACAATGCCCCAAAGCTTCCAGGTATTCCTAACTGGACTTTGTGACTCCATCTTCTCACAGACTGGATCGAGAGAGCTGCTGGGCTGACGTTTCAGCACCCACCAACCTGTCCAAACAGCTTGCAAGATGGTGAAAAGTGTTGCTGTTCACTCGCTACTTGACAATCTCCCTTTCCAAAGCCCTCTCCTCCCTGCAGTACCAAGCTGGGAAAGGTGAGCTCTGTTATAAGAGTGTGCTAAGTCTGGCTCTGCAGAGATAATCCTCCAAGCGGTGTTCCCCCGGCAGCTGTGTGCCCCAAGTTCACCGCTGGATGCTGAAATGGTGTCCCTGCAGAGGTCCAGAGACACCGCTATGAGTACAGAAGTGTGCGCACATCACCCCACATTCCCCTCCGTGAACAAACACAGGACAGACCATCAGGACCGTGTGCAGGAAGACCTTATGGAGTGCAGGATGGGGAGGATGGAGCACATCCAGAAAAGCCAGAGTTGTCCAAATGGCACACTTCTGCCAGCTTGGGAATGAGGGATTGCAATGCATCTTCAGCCTCTTCTGTCTGAAACACAGAATGGCCGCGCCACTGACACCAAACAAGACTTACACTAAAGTGGAGTATTGCACGCAGGGACAGGTCCTCTTCAACAGCTGGACCTCTCCTGTGCCACAGGGCAGGGCTGCTGCCAGTAGCTCAGGGCGAGATGGAACAAAGACTGCCTGCGAAACTCTGGAGGAGAAGGACCAACAAGCATGAGGAAGACCTGGGAGAGCATTCAACAGGAGAGGGGGCGCAGGACAATGGCAGACAGTGATGTATGGGTCATGGACTGGTGTAGGAAGGCTGCAGAAGAGCAGGGTTCCTAGCTAGCCTCTCCTGGAAGCACCGAAATGCATCACCTCACTCACCTCGGAACCCATCGGTCCCTACACACCGTAACACCTGCCACCAGGGGACACAGTAGGAAGGGAAGAGGAGGGAGAGAGGTGACAGGGTTGGTCAAGACCTTTGGGTCCAGCACGTTATCATCTGCGAAGCCAAATCCTCACCAATTCTCCAGCTGAAGGGAGAATGCTCCCCAGCATCCCCAGCTGCCACAGCAGCTTCTCCACAGAGCAGCAACAGCTGCATCCCACGAAGCTGTGGCCTCTGTCCTGCCAGATGAGCATCAGCAGCGTTTCACCAGGGCCACAGCTCTTGGTGGTGGTTGTGTTTGTGCACTCAGCAGAGCATCCACAGGGGCCTGAGATCTGCATGACACTACATCCCCCGCCCCCCTCGCACATGCAAACCATCCAGATGCATGAACAACACAGGTCTGACACAGAGTCACTCTACAATGGGATCTCTCAACATCCTGTGCACCCTGGGGATCCTCCTCCCTCCCCCCCTCAAGGAGAGTCTTCAATCCTTGTACACTGTTGCCTTTAGCATGTTTTTCTGTTTCTGTTTTTTAAAACATGTTTTGAGGCTTCTATTAAAACACAGAAATACAGAACAATTAAAAACCAGCACAAGTTTCGCCTTTCCCAGCGACCTATTTACAGCTAGTTCCAAAAACCCTCTTGCACATTTTGGTTGCTTAAAAAGGAAGGAAAAAAAGGAAAAAAAAAAAGAAAAAAGGAAAAAGAGAGGAAAAAAAGGGAAAGAAAAACACTTGACAGAGGAAAACCGTAAGTGAAAACTTTACAAACTGACACAGGGTCTGGATGTCCCTAGTCTCCACTCAGGGTTCAAAGTAACAGCCCCACTCCCAGCCCCTCCACCCTCCCCTTCCCCAAAAAAGAAAGGAAAAAGAAACCCAATTCACATCAAGTTTACTGCACATATGGTTTTCTGTGTAGAGGCGAATCCAATATGAAAAGCATCCCACGTGGTGTCCTCCACTGACATTGGCCCCCAACCCTCCCCTGCAGAAAGGTTTAAAAATGTTTGTAGAGGCAGCCCAGTCCCCTCCCCAGCCCTGAGAGCCAGCCGGGGTTAGAAAGGCAAGTTTGCCATGTTCCCAGGCCCGGGGATGTAACTCATCTGGCTGTCCAGGGAGACACTCCTCTGCCTCATCTGGTGCGTGACCATGAGGTTCTGCTGAGGCGGGGGCCCCATGAGAGAGCCCTGAGGTGACATCATATGTCCTGTCTGGGCATACATCTCCCCTGACACAGACATGCTCCTCTGTTTGGCCTGCATCAGCATGAAATTCTGCTGGGCCATCAGGCTCTGCTGTGGAGACATCATGCCCTGATGCATGCTGTTGCCCATCATGCCTTGCTGGGGTGGTATGCCTGTCCTGCCCAGCATGGGCATTTGTCCAGGATGGCACATGGGCATGCTGAGTCCCCTCTGCACGCCCTGCTGCCCGGGGAGGCTGGGGGCATTCATACCTGGCCGCACCGGGGGCTGCTCAGCCATCATGTTCTGCAGGTTCATGAGGTGAAGGTTGGAAGGCTGAGATTTCGGCGCCTGGCTGTCGCTCTTGGGGAAATACTGCAAGGTGCTGCTTGGCTTCTCTGATGGGATGATCCTGGACAGATCAAATTCAGGGATCCCTGTGGGTGTGGGGCGGATGACCTCGCTGAGCTCGGGGTCGTTCAGCACCGATGCCACCCCGGGAAGCACGGGCGGGTAGGGCTCGCCAATCCGAGGAGGGATGTTCTTGCCCATCATGTGCTGCTGAGGGGGCATCTGGCCAGGCTGCTGGGAGGGAAGGTCCTCAGGCGGCAAGGGCATCCCTGGTGGGTAATGCTGCTGCATCCCAGGGCCACCTCCCGCACCGGGGGCTATGGGCATGCCTCCAGCAGGAGATGCCATGGCGTTGTGGGGCTGCTGCATGCGGGGGAACACGAGCTGGTTAGAAGGAATCATCTGTGAACTGTTGGGCACAGGGCCACACTGCTGGTTCAACGAGTCCTGGGGACCCGGGGGCATCATCATGGGGTTCTGGGGGGGCACGCCTGCCCCTGGCCCACTCGGGTGCATAGGAATGTTGGAGCCCAGAGGGTTTGGGGAGGACATCATGGAGGTGGGGGGCGGTTCGTGGGAGAGGGGCTGCTGACCAGGCAGGTTCATTCCCATGGGGCTCTGAGAGGATCCAGGTGCCACAGAGTTCAAGTGCAGTTGATTTGGCTGATTCCCCGTCACACCTAAGAACAGAAAAAAGAGAGAAGAGTTATCCCTCCTCTCAGATCTCTTCGGGTTGCAAAATCCACATCCTGAAAGCTTGCCAAGCACTCCTGCTCAGAATTCCCTGAGCATGGAGAGTGATGCTTAGTAAGGAGCTGCAAGATGGGCTTGCAAAGCACCAATATCAGAAAAAAAGCACCCAGACTCCAGCTCCCTAAGCCCACAAGCACCAGAGAGATCTTTCAGCTTCATCCAGTCCCATGCTGGATTTGTAGCTTCTTACAGCCCCCTGATTTTAGAATCCTGGCTTGGTGTGTTGGGACAGCCCTACACCATGGTCTCAGCAGGGCTCCCAGCAAGGCTCCCAGCTACCTGGAAGGCACCGAGGAGTGACCCTTCAGCACTGTGGGCTGCAGGGTTCACACCGCCCAGCAAGCTCCGGTGGCCACACAACCTTGGGCAGTGAGGAGGAAAAAAGCAGAAGAGTGGGCAGCCCAACACGGGTGATGTCCGGGTGGGACATCGGAACAGCAGAGCCATCCATGCCTGTGGAGGCAGCCAATGCATTTGCATGCCTGCAGTCAACCTAAGTGACTGCTCAGCAGTGAAAGAGTCAAAAAGTTGATTTTTCATTTTGAAAACTGCCAAAAATATTTATCAGACAGCTTTAAACCCCTAAATCAAGTGGTAAAGCACACTGGAATTCCCCTTTGGGCTGGTCACCAAGTGACAAAAAACACTCATTTGCCTAGCTGTCCTCACCAGTGCCACCGGCTAGTGAAGCGTATCTGGCCTACTGAAATCACAGCTATGCTACCTACAACACAGGTTGCCTCATGCAGGCACCTGGGCTGCACTCAAAACACCAGACTCCCAAGCCCTGTTCAGAGCATGCCTGTCCTGTTACACAGAAACGCAAGGGCTCTAAGCAGCAGACCTCTGTCTGCAAGTCCTGAGCCTGAGAAAACTCCAGGAGCCATGAAAATTCAGGGCTGATGCCTCTGCACAAGGTAAAGGTAGGTCTAAAAAATTCCAGAGCTCACAGAATAAGGATGTCTCAAGCCAGACTCGCTCATGTACTTCCAGAGAGCACACCCAAGCCAAAAGCTGATGGGCAGCCTCAGCACAGGGCAAAGAAATGCACAAACTATTACCAATGAGGGTGAATTTAAGCTATTTGACATGGCAGACAGGGGGAGAAGAGAGTTTCTAATGCCTCCTCCACCTGCTGCCTCAGGCTCACTGGCAGCCATGAGACGGCGTGACCTCTTGCAAGCCCAGCTCCAGTAGTATGTACCTGACATACTTCCAGGAGGGAGCATAGGCCTGTCCGGCAGCAGCTCGTCGTCAGAGGTGGCGATGGTTTTGATGGCATTGTGGTAAAGTGGTGTGGAGCTGGGCATGGCATACTTGGACATCTGGGACATCATCAGTGAGAGTGGGTTCTGAGAGGGGGATGGATCTGGAGAGGAAGTAAAAGGCATGTTGGGATTTATGGTGCTAGAGGTGTTACTGGCTGGCGCGGAAGAGCTGCTCCGAGGCCCAGAAGGGAGAGAACCTGCAAGCAAGAGAGAGACCAGCTTAGTACTGTCCACACACCTACTATCAGAGAGCAACCCTGTCCCCTCCTTCCAATGGCAGTGACCAAAGGAGTTTGCAAAACACAGAGCTGGCCCAGCCCAGTATGCAGAGACCCTGCTCCAGAGCAGTGATGGACTTCCACTTCAACCTGCTCCTGACTGCCCAGCACAGACACAGCTTTTGCTGCCTTATCACAGAGCGTAAGCAGTAAAAGCTGCTCTGCCCACCCTCTCATCTACCTGAAAAGGCCCTGTTTGGACTCCTGGGAAATAAACTTGCTCCATGAGATGCCACACACAGGCATCTCTGTTTCTTCTTGCTCCTGCGAGAGCTCACAGGCTGGAGAGAAACACTGTCCGCACACTCACCAAGCACAGACATGCACTCGCATGCAAGACACCCAGCATACCCTGATCCAGTGCTCCCATGGAGGCAGATGAGTTCATGCTGAGAGTCTGCTTGCTCTGGTTGACTCCTGGGCTGGGCATGGTGGCTTTGGGAGATGGCACCCAACCAGGGGAAGGAACAGCCATAGAAGGGGACTTCAGGCGGCTTGGTGAGCCGGTTGGAGACCGCACATTGAGAGAGGAGCTCATCACCTGGGGGGACTTGAGGGGCCCTGACTGGTTTGAAGGTGGCATGCTGACCATCTGTGAGGGTGTCTGTGGGGACTTGAGGTTGGCAGACGGGGAGGTGACCAGCGGCGAGTGCACCTGGCTAAGGGTGGGAGACTTGAGGTGGCCCATGCTGGGGGAATTCATCTGGCTGATGTTGATGGTGAGGTCAGAGGGCCGGCGGCCAAGCCCTCGGGAAGGTGCTGGGTGCATGTTGGCTAGGTTTCCCCCTGGTGTGGGAGTGGGATTGGAAGCTGGAGGCAGAGGGATGTGGCTGAGCCTGGTGGTGCCACTGATGCTCCCAACGGGCATGGTGCCCTGCTCAGGGTTGAATATGTCCGAGCCACTGCCCATCTCCTGGGGCATGTTGGGATAAGGTCCTTGCCCGCTTGAGAAGCCTTGCTGCCCTTGGCTGGGGAACTGGGAGGGAATCATCATTTTCTGGGGCCCCGTTAGCATTGCACTACCACTGCCATTCTGAGCCCTCGCCCTGGCCAGCTCCTCAGGGCTCATGCCCTGGTGGGTCATCATCTCGGGGCCCCTCATCTTCTGCGACATCATCATCTGCTGCTGTGGGGTCATCTGGACATTGAGGTTCATGTTCATGTTCATGTTGACATTCATGTTCATGTTGAGGTTGCCAGGGCCCACGGGTGCATCCATGTCCCGAAGGCCTGACTGACTCATAGGGGGGCTCAGCATCCCCCGAGTGCCTGCAAAATCCATTCCCATTGGGGCACTGCTCAGGCTCTCCCCCGTTATCTGGCCAGCAAACATGGATGGATCCATCTGCCTGTGAGCCTGCATCATCCTCTCCATTTCCATGCTCTGGCTCATGGAGTTGCCAGATATTCCCATGGGCCTCTGCATTGCCACTGGGCGTTTTTCCATGAGCTGATGCCGTAGAATCTCCTCCCTGGCACGGGGATTCATAAACCTTTCTGGGTCCCCTTGCCCTGATGGGTAGGGCAGGGTGCCCTGCGGAAAGTTCCCGGGGCCTCCCATAGGAGACATATCATCGCTCCATCCCATGCCAGGCCTGACTGGTCTCTGCATGGCATTCATGGGCCCAAGAGCATCCAAGGGCATGTTCTGCATCCCTCCAAAGCCAGAGACTCTCTGCATTTGATTCCCAGGAAACCGTGGCCCAGGAAAGGGTGGCCCTCCCCGCAGCTGCATAGGGTCCTGCACATCTATGGGTCCCCGTAGCTGGCTGCCCATCCCTGGCGGCCACGGCTCCCCAGGCTTGCTATGGTAGGGTGGTGGGGGCCCTCGCATCATCATGCTCCCCATCGACTGTGGGATCATGATCTCCTGCATGGGTCGGCCGTGGATGCTGATCTGCTCCTCTTTCCGTCGCTTTTCCTCATAGTACTCTTCCTGCAGCTTCCTCCAGGCCACTTGCTCCGGTGTCAGGCTGTCCTGGTTCAGCCGCTGCATCATCATGTTCATCTGCTGCCCCATGTCAGCTCCGGGGTGGTGCGGCACCTCGTGTTCTAGGCTGGGCCCACCAAGGCTCTGAGTCTGGGATATCATGGACTGCAGAGGCTCTTCATACTTCTTCATGCTGGCCGAGGGTGCAGGGGGCTGGGCAGGGGTAGCCTGTGGCTGAGGGGCAGTGCCACCCTCACCCACATTTTGGCTGGACTTGAGGAAGGGCTCGGCCTCCCCACTGCGCAGCAGCAGACGCTCAATGTCCCGCAAGGTCTGCAGAGAGCGCTCTCGGTGCTCCAGCTGCTCCTTTGAGAGCCCTTCCGAGTTCATGGCATTCCTGGGGCCCAGGCCTGCCTGCCCTGGCATCCCTGGACCCGGACCCTCTCCGAGAAGGCTAGAGCTGGGGGCGGCAGAGGAGTCCACTTGCCCAGGCTGCATGGCGCTGGCAGACGCGGTGGGTGTATTTGGGTGGTTGTTTCCAGGCTGGTTGCTGCTGCTGTTGTTCCCCAAAGAGCTGGGAGTCAGATCTCTCCGGACATCTTCACTTGTCCCTTCCTGAGGTGCAGGCAAAGGTGTTTGACTGATGGTCTGAGGTGTGGGGGGTGGAGGCTGCGGTGGGGGAGGCTGCGGCTGTGGTTGACTTGCTTGAGGGGCTGGTGGCTGGGACTGTGGAGTGTTGGCAGCAGGAGGGTTAATCGGAAGTGGCTCAGCAACCCCCAGCACTTTAGGAGCAGGTGCCTAGCAGAGAAAAGGGGAAGAAACTTAAGAAGTAAAAAAACCCTAGAGAGGTATTCTTCCCTGCACCCTGCAGGAGACCACCTCTCTGTCCCGAAAAGTTGCCTAATGGCAGTTCATCTTCATTCCTTACAGGAAAGATGTAGGCCCTACTACATGCCCTGGGAATGCACAAGCTGTGGGCATGGCTGTGGGGCCACAGGCCATGCCCCATCCCAAACTTTTCACAGATGACAACAGCAAGGGTTGTGCCAAAGAGTTTCCACAGCAAAGCATCCCGCGCCACTGAAAGGGCATTCTGGCAACCCCTTCTTTCACAACTGAGCCAGGGGCTGGGGAAGGGTAGCAGTTGGCAGCACATGCCAACTGGAGCATTTGGTTCATAGCTGGTATACCTGGTCTAGCTTTGCCCGCGGGACATTCTGCTGATGGTAGGCCAGAATGGAGTCAGCTCGGCCCTGCAGGACAGCTTCTGCAGCTCTGGGGAGAGAGCACAAATCGCTTGAGAACAGGCACTGTGCCCCATCCTACCCATCCCCAGCTGCCACCTCCGCTCTTCAGTCCTGCAGAAAGAGGGAAATCTCTGGAGGTCACTGAGAAGAGTGAATGTTCTCAGAGCCTTCCCACCTGTCCTGCACATGTCCCCTGAGGATCTCCAACTGAGGATCACTTGCCCTGAAGTTTCCCTCTTCCCATGTCCTGTGACAGGCTTTGCCTTCTGCCTGCTGCCCTAAGGTGGCTGTCACCCAGACGCTCTGGGATCTTCCGCACCAGACCTGTGGTACAGCAGAGCTCTAAAACTAAACAGACTAAGTTAAACAGACTAAACTAACTACACTACTATGACCCTGTGGCTGAGACAATGCAGGACAGAAGGGAGGAATTGTGTGGAGAACACCCAGACACTCCCAGAGACACCCACCCCTCAGATACTTCTGAATCAGCCCAGCAGCCTGCACTGCTTTGGGTGAATCATTCGTTGGATGCTGACTAGATGTGCTCTACAGCAGAGTGCAGCGCCAGGCATCGCCAGGAGGAAGTGGGCATCTAAGTCCAAGTTCGCCCACCCGTGGTGGCTGCCAGTAAACCTCATGAACCTCAGGGGGTTCCCACTCTGTGCAATCAGAGAGACACAGGTCTCTCCAGCTCTTCTGCACTCCACTGCCGTGTGCAGCGGACAGGTGTGACAAGGCCTGCCGGGACGGACGGAGTTTACCACTTACGTGTTAGCAAGGTGCGTTGTAAAGACGTAAACGAACTGTGACGGCTGCTTCCCTGCTCCGCCGCCTCCGCCTCCCACAGCCTCTGACCGCAAGCCGGGGGCAGCACCATGGGGCACGCCGGAAGCGCTGCTCTCGCTCAGGTTCGGCAGCGGGTTGGACCCTGGGCCAAGCTGTGGGGCCGTGGACATCGCAGGATCTGCTACATTACAGCCTGCGGGAGCAGAGGAGAGCGCGGGAGCGCCGGGACGAGCCGCCGGCAGGGGGCGGCCCCGGCCCCCCCGTCCATCGCCAGCCGCTCTCGCAGGAGACCCGCGATTAATATTAATAAGCATTGCAATTACCAGGGGCATGCCCTGCCTTCCTCTCCCTTCGCCCCTCAACGCAACTGGCTCCCTGCTCCCCTCCAGCTGCCTCTCCCCACCGCAGCCGCTCCTGCAGCCCGACCCTGCCACTGCAGCATCTACACAGGAGACGTGGCTGGGAACCTGGTGCGGGGACACTTCCAGCCCCTGCCCCCGGGCAGCCCCACCGTGGCCCACTCCCGCCACGCAGACCTGGGAGCAGGCTGTGACAAGGGAAGTGGAACTTTCCCTTCCCACACGGGCTGTGGAGTGTGCTGAGAAGCACAAGGGAACATTATGGAGAGGATGGTGACAGTGCGCTGGCAGCTCTCCTTGCTTTCCTACACATTCATGTTCTCCATCAGAGGACATGGGCATCTCCTGGCTGCCACTCTGACCAGGGTGGGCATGCCCGACCAGAGTTAAGCTGGGCACACTTTCAAGATGGTAATTCTGCTGATAGTGTGGCCAGAGCAACATACAGCAGGGACATTCAACCTCAATGCCTTTTCCTCCAGCATCTCAGTAGCATCTTCACAAAGATGCTTCACAAAGTGAGGTTCCACATCTCACTACATGGCAAAAAAAAAATTCTCACAGCGCAAGGAGCACCAACTGCAATGCCCCCCCTCCTCACCACACACCCGGCTAAGTGAGCACACACAGGTAAAAAGGTGCCAGTGTCACCAGCCCTGCTGAGCTGCAGGAAGGATCTAGCTTTACTCAAGCTTGTGAGTTGGTAAGGAGGCAGTCACTCACTGTGTGCATTGCTGATGGGCTTGTCGTCTTCTTCGCTGTCTGGCCCAGAGCACCACTCATCGCCGCTGTATGGCTGTTTCCTTTCCAGCACGCACCGTCGCTTGCTACGGGGAGCCACCTCACCTGCAAAGCGACAGAGCCATCAGAGGTGCTGAGGAGACCTGGCAGGGACTGGGAAGACTGGGGTCCTGCCCAGCTGCATGCTGGCAGTGCTGACCCAACAGGGATGCACTGGGCAAGAAGCCTTACACCAACATCTGCCCAGTGCTGCTTAAGAACCTGAAGCATCTGATCAGTCTGGGCTTCTTGTCTTTGCAGCCAGATCTAGTGGGACTCCAGTGTGAGAGCCAGAGTTTCAGAATGAGGTGTATTTCTTACTGCCTGAAAGGAGTCTGCGAACACAGGACGTGTCCACCTGCTGTTCAAAATAGGAGAGCTTTGGGCATTAACCATAAATTTAAAGGGTCTGTGATTTAGCAATCAAAACCTGAATACAGAATGGAATAGTGCGTTCGCATCCTTTGTAGGAACAAGAGACAGACTCTGCCCTTTGCTGATATCAATCGGGCAGGGGCCTTCATGCCCTCTGTAAACTCATGTGCTCCCTCCATTTCTCAGATGGGACTGATGCAGCTCAGAGAGGAAGTAGCTTGCCTTAAAGGCACTGAGGGGACTCAGGGACAGCAACCAGACCCATGCTTTAACTAATTTTTTGCCCTCCTTTTTTTACATCATCTAGTGGTTTCCAGGCCATATTCACATGATCTATCAGTGCATTACGAACATAAGAGATTCGAGCATTTCTGACCAAGTCATTTAAATAATTTTCTTGTGGAAGTGTGGGCTACAAGACAGTTCTTGGATAAAGCTACAAATGCTTTTGATCAGTGGTGTACACTTACCCCTGCAACTCCAGGTACTGTCTACTCATTCTACCAAGGCATGGCTCTGGCCTAAGCCAGTCAGGCAACACAGCTCTGGCTGTGAAAGCAAATGCTTAGGGACACAAGCCATAACAGCAGTTCTGCGCCTGGGGACTGGGTTTGAGTCTCCGTTGGAACCAAGGGCACCACTGGGATTTCTCCTCCCACCACCATGAGATGCTCAAGCGTCCCATGGAGCCATTGAGCACAGAGCTTGGTGGAATGCAAGAGGCTATGGGGAAGGTTGGCAAGGGCAGGAAAGCCAAAGAGTTTAGAAGCACTGACTCAGCCCTTTTCCAGAAGCCACATGCTGTAACACAAGAGTCATCCATCGCTGACAAAACCACAGAACTGTTCAGACAGTGACCCTCACAGCACCTCCTTGCTAACCATGACCGAGTTGTTGGGCAGCTGCAAGAACACCACAAAGGCAGCTCTCTGCCAACAGCAAGGAGACAGAAAACAACTCAACTGAGTCTCAAGTTGAAAGTCTGCACATTGCAAAGCAGGGGCAGTTTCAGTGAACCACACTGTTGCTTAGCTGGCCTCAATAGCCCATGAAAATCAGTCCAAGATTCTGGGTATAATAAAGAGTTTAGGGAGTGAAATGCAAAGCTAATGAATGCTCAGCTACTCTGGTCCCAAAACTGTGAATGTGACAAACAGTGATGCAAAGTCACACAGGCAGCCAGGACATGGACAGAAGAGAGCACAGAAACTCAAAATGTTCCCATCCCAAGTCCTGCCAGGATGCCTGGAGCAACTGAGGGGACAACATGCTGAGGAAAGGTTTAGGAGAGTGTTACCTTTTGATTCTGTGTCCTGTGATGGGGTGCTGACTTCTCGCTGTTCTCCAGAGTCCACTGAGATGCTTCGCTCCCGTTTCACCTTGCCCTTCAAGGAGCTGAAGTTTGGGACAGTGTTCTGGCTGTTTTTCAGTCCAGAGTTGCCAGGGGAGATCTGAGTGGCCTTACTGCCATGGCTGCCTGCCCCCACACCCTTTGAGCCCAGGTTACACGTGGGTGCTTGGCTCACATTGTGGTGCTGGGCCAGGGCACCGCTGCTGCCTGCCTTGCCATGGCTGGGCAGTTTGTTGTCAGGGTGCATTGGCTTGGCTAAAGCTTCCCACAGCACCAGTGGAGGGAGCTCCCAGGCCCTTCGGTCAGAAACCTGCAAGAGAAAAGGGCAGCGAGTCACCAAGGTGCCCCTCACACAGGTGCAGTTGCTGGGGGCACAGCCCAGGATCAGGGCCCTGGGGCTGCTGCTTGGTTGCAGGGCCAGACAAAGCCCATGGCAAGGCACAACCCAGAGCTTCTCATGTCAGGAACGAGCACTGGCCCCTTTGAGCAATGGATCCTGCTCCACAGTTAGAGACATGCTGACTAGTTGTAAACTCCCATCAGGCATGGCAGATTTGCCAGCATTTCAAGGCACAGGCATGGACACAAGAGCCCTCATTTCCAAGGTCACGATGAAAAATGGGTGCTCCATGCCAACCTGGCCCTTTAGCGAGTGAAGGATCCTCGCAGCTAATTTGCACATGTTCCCAGAGCTCAGACAACTTTGTGACCCTGAACAGAAATCTAGTACCCTACTGGTTTCACAGACCCCTTCTGCTGCTAAATAAATTTCCTCTGCCTTGCAAAACACAAAGGACACAACAGAGCAGACAGAAAATGGTCTTGAAGCAAGCCTATAAAAAGAAAACTGGGATGGAGCAGGGGATGAAGGAGGTTAAGGCAACTGAGAAGGTGGCAGTGGGCTGCAAGGCAAGGGCAGAGCCAGGGTGTGCAGGCACTCATCAGACAAGAGGTATCCCTGCCTCTCCCAGGGGCCTGAGGGACCATTCCAGCTCCTTCTCCAAGGCCCTGGGTGATGGAACGTCCACTTCAGCGGGAACTTCCAGCCCAGCAGGATGATGCAATGTGCCACAGGCCTGCCGGGATAGCAGGGTGAGGCTCTCCTGCTCCAGACCCAGACCAGCTTTCTGAATAGCCCTGCAGGCTGAAGCAGAGCCTGGCAGAGAAGAGGATGTTAGGGCAGAGCACGGAAGCTTCTGGGCTGGGGGACATGCATGCAGATAAGCAATACTGCAACAGCCCTCCTTGCAGGATCTAGCTGCCTTGGCAGAGTCTCTTGGGCTTGCACTAGGAATATTCCCCTTGGAGCTCTGCACAGGCATTAGAGATGACTGGGATGTGGCTCCACATCACATCATGTATTCTGGAAGGCCACTACCAACCCTTGGTTTAACACACAACTCTGGTAACTGCACCCTAATCCTAACCCTGTCACAGTCTTTTTTACTTCCTGGGAACTAGGAGGGAGGGAGAGTAAACCACGTGTTCATGGAAGCTGAGGTATTGCTCTCTGTTTGCTCACATCCGCTATATGCTTTGCATGACACCCCCACAGTGCACTCAAGAACCTTTCCTGTGCACAGGCAGAGAAATTTCCCAGCACACAGGAAAGGGTGTTACTGGGCCCAGGGTCTGCTCCTCCCATCTGGACCATGCAGGCCAGATGCTGCGCACAGATTTCTTCTGCCACCCAGGGACAGGAAGCACCGGCTCCAGACCAAACCCCACATCTCTAAATAGCACCGCGAGAGCTCAGCACGCTGCTCCTGGCTTGCCAAAGGCAAGCCTGGAGACACCATCAGCAAAAGCCAAGTGCTCACTCTGCCAGGGCAAACCACTGCACCCTTGCAATGCAAGCAAAGAGGGAAGCACACTTGGCAAACCCGTAATCCCTGAAAGGCTGCAATCGCCACAAGGCGCAGGCTGCAGCTTGCCATCCACCACCAGCGAGTTCTCTGCCTGAAAAAGGGTCTTCTCAGCACCTGCCTCCCTGCGAGCTGAGCCGGGGGCTGCTGGCACGTTGCGCAAACAGCAACCAGCGCTGAGGCACAGCCCGCCCAGGCATTCCTCCTTAGTTAGTGGGATCCTTCGTGCACAGCTTGGCCTATCACCACTTCCTAACTAGCGAGTCACTCCCTCCTCCTTTTCCTCCGCCTCCTCCCCACGCACCTCGACAAGGGCTCTGCTCTAGCCTGGAGGAAGATGGTGAGCCACAGCACTGATTAATTTTCACAGCACATAAGGGAGTTGCTAGCCCTTTAAGTGTCAGCCAGTCTCGCTTGCTCGCTCTTGTTCTCTAGGGACCTATTAATAGCAGCTGGAAAGATCACATCACTCTCTGGATATTTATACCCCTCATTCCACACCAGGAGAGATTTATGTCAGAGCTGCCGTCCCAGTGCCTGCCCAATTGCTCTGTCAAACCGCTCGCAGGGGGAGGGGAGCCGAGGAGGGAAGGAGACATGGAGAGGGCAAGCGGGGAGGAGGAGAAGGTCCATATGGCACAAGCTGCAGCGTTAAGCACACACGCTGCCCGCAGCCACTGGCTGGCCAGCCGCAGGGAGCCTTCAGCCCCGCTGGAAGAGGTTGCTGCCAGACAGCATTCCAGAAAGCAAGCCCTGCAGCAAACTCCCGCTACTGGTGGCCCAGAGCCCCCCCCCCGTGCCGCACTCGCAATCCCTGCAACACGCTGCACCACAGTCCCGAGGGTCACAAACCCACTGACTCAACGGTGCCACTAAACCCGCTGAGGAAGTGCTCCTTTTCGATGGTAGGCTGGGAGATCCAGATCTGCCTATGGCAAATCTGCACGGGTACAATATCGTGTTTGAAACAGATCCCAAAGCGCTTCACCGAAAATGTGAGTGCTCAGCAGCACTGCAGCACAACCCTAGTACGGCATAGCATGAGCAGAGAGAAAGAAGCCCAGGGCCCTGCAAAGCCCAGGCCTGCAGAGTCCAGAGATGCACCCCCTGTCCCTCTGGTTCTCAAATGACACTGCAGGGAACACACACATCTCGATCACGGAGGACCTGGCAGCCACCAGGATGAAACCTTCAGGTGCTGCCTGCAGCATGGATGAGCCTCACTGGCTGGGAGGTTCCTCCAGAACATTACATTTTTGGGACATTTATCTTCTTCCTTCATTTTGGACTAGCCTGGTGCTCCAGGGAAGACATTCAAAATCTTGCCTGAGGCAGGATGGAAAGCCACCCTGGGCTGACAGAGGGCCCTGGCTAAACCTTGGAAAGCCCTTCTCTTCTAGTCTCCACTCAAAGGGACCACACTCTTCTCACAATTCCTAGTGGGACAAATGCCAGAAGCAGCTGCCTGCGGATTCTGCTCTGCTTTTGGGAGCAGCAACAGTTGGATCTGTTGCAGATGCATAGTGGGGATCCACCCCAGCCTCTCATCTGTCTGACTGCAGCATGATGATAGGCATCTCGATTGCTGTAAGCTCCTTCCACATACCCCTTCCACACTAGATCTAAACTAGATTTCAGCAGGCATGCCACACATCTGGGCCACAGAAGATAATTACTTAGAAAGTAGATACACTGACACCAGGAGACAAACAATCCAAAACATCTTGAAAAGAACATGACAAAAAGAAGATTGCACAGAAATCTGTCTTCCTCCGCAGTTTAGCAACACACCCATTCCAGCCCAGTAGTTTTAAAGACAATAGCAAACTTAATTCCCAGTGGTTAAAGCAAGGAGCTGAGACTCTTGGGTTCTGCTCCCGGCTGCCACCAATTCCACTCGTGACCCTGAGCAGGATGTCTTGTTTCTGGGTGCCTTGATTCCCCCATCATTACACAGGGAGATAACCCAGCCTACCTCATGCAGGGAGGGAGGCTTACAAGGTACAGTAAGTATCTGTTGAATGAAGGGCTACATCTAAATGCAGAGAGTGTTTGCGCCTGGTACATCTGAAAAGCCTCAGCTTTAAATCAAAGACTGGGACCTTAGCAGACAAGAAACCTCGAACCAAAACAACAAAAACTGCTTTCAGTAAACCTCTGTCAGTACGGTCTGAACAGCAGCAGAGGGAGAACAGGAAGAAGCTCCAGGCAGGAGAGACTGAGCTGACATATTCACAGTCCGGGAATTGCTAGCTGATAGTTCAAGAAACCTGAAACCCCACTGCCTCCCCAGAGGACTTTCTGGTGAATCATGCTCCTGCTCCCTCTGATAACACAGATTCCCAACACTGCCGCAAAGAATGCAGAGCCTGAGCCTGCTGCCAGCCCTGCAGCTTCCACAGCTGGGAGCTGGCTGGCATTGCTGCCGTGCTATCCCTCTTGGAAGAAAGGGTGAGAGAGGAAGCCAGGAAAATGGAGTCAAAAAGGAAGGCTCTTCACCACATCTCCCTCCTATTGGATGCTGGGAAGAGCTCTTGTGAAACCCAGATGACTACCAGGTTATGCATACAGGGCAGACACCAGAGCCCCAGCCTCCTGAGCTGTGCGTGCCCAACAACCCAATGTGCCTGGCTCACCAACACCCAACATACAAGACAGGTCATGACAAGGTGATGCAATGCACAGAAAGTTGCCCAACTCCTCTCTGTCAGCCTGTCCAGGAAGTAACAAGACCTGGTTGCCACTGCAAACACCCTCTAAGCACATCACCTATGCTGATAAACAACCACAAAAATCCTCCAACCACAAGCTGCAATCTTGGACAAGCCCAATCCAAAACCTGTGGACACCACCACAAACTCACGTTGAATACCTTGGCTTTGGCAATGAGGGGTCCTAAGCAAGCTCAAGAGCTTCTTGAAGAAAGGCATTAGGCAGAGAACACCAGGAGAGACCCCAAAAACCCACTGACCCCTCCTGAAATACAACTCACTCCAAGTCTGGATGAGATAGCGGGCACAAGACCCACACCAGTCCTCCCAGGGTTAAGAGCAGAAGGGTTGAACACCTTAAAAAGAAAACCATACTATGTCAGTAAAATCAGCGTATTTTGTGGAGGGGAAGACTACCACAAACTTTCTAGAAGCAAGATTTCTGAAGTCTGAGACCCTTGGATCATTTCCGATTTTGAGAGAAGACCAGAATCAGAAACTTGACCTTTTTCATGCAAAAATGGTTGTTCCAAAACAATCCTTTTCGCAAGACCATTCAAGAGGTTTTGAGTCTGTTCCAGTGAGAAACAAAACCCTCAAAACCAGTAGCAAAACAGCACTGCTGTCAGCCAGCCAGCTCCAGCCAAGAGGCAGCAATGGGCTTGAACAGCCAGATGAGCCTGAAACCCACTCGAGCCCAACCAGCTCCAAGATCTCACACTGTTTAGTGA